GTTTATGCACACCAAGAATTAGCATGCATCGGACACAACTCCCCATCCTCTCAGCCTTATGTCCAAGCGCAGTGTTATTTTTCTACATAGGTACAATAAAGAAACGTAAAAATACATTAAAACACAGCGTAAAGCTCCGACGTTTCTCCGCCGATCAAGTTACTTTCTGAGAATACCTGTAATTGCCCAGAAGTGTGAGCCACTCTTCACTGAATTAACACAACGCCTGCCTTAATTCCGCAAATACAATCGAATGATGTATCACTTGGGTTTAAATCCATCATCGGTGTATTAGAATTACACTAAAAGATGATTTGTAACCAATAGACGCAGCACATATACATAAAAAATGCAATAAAACTGTTAAGTGCATCTTCAATCCCCGTGTAGTGTAAGACAGGCAGAACTCTTGCACGAATCGGACATTTAAGGTTTCGACTTACCTTTAAGGGCAGGAAAGTATCCATTATGTGCCGCCGCGAGCTTTAAACGGTACACTCTTTTTTTTCCTGCTTCGAGTCTAAAGCCGCTCCCTTCCCATTCATGCACTAATTCCAGAAGAGGAACTGCAAAAGCAACTGCCCGACCAGCCGCATATCGCTTCTTCTCTCGCTCCTGACAATTTTTCCCCCCACCAGCAGATGCTCTGGAAAAACCTGCGCTTTTGCCGGGAGCCAAGCTGCGACACAGAGCTTCACAGCATTTTTTGTAGTTTTTCCCTTTAAGTAAAAATAACTAGCTCGCTGCTGTGTGGGCTCGTCTGCATATTTCCATGTGAGAGTGCAGCTACATGGCATAGGCGTTTGTCTATTTTTCCCCCCCCGCGGTGCAGTAATTACTAGTGTTCACGTCCTTGGAATCGGTTGCTTCTCTTTTGTTCCTAAACACTTATCCAAGCAGAAAGAATGTCTCCTTTTAAAACGAAGTAAAGGCCGTAAGTCCAGAAGAAAACTTTCTTGTTTGTTTTCAGTGATTCGGAAGTTATTAGTTAGTCCAAGAGTGAGCAGATGGCGAGACGCGAAATCTGCGCCAGAAAGACTGCAATGGAGCGGCGGATAACCCTAGATGGCACAAACACCATGAAGTATCACGGAGCCCAATGGACAGGCGGTGGGTGGGGGAGAGGGGGGCAGAGACAGGCAGGTCACCCAGACGTGCAGTGCATGTATGCAAACACCCACTGTAGCGAGTTTGTAGCGATAATTGCGCGTAAATAGCCACTTTGGCACGGTCCACAGCAAGCACCGTTCTGTCTGCAGAGGATTAACGATCACGGATTAGCGTGTGCTTAGGGCTCACTGCAACAAAGTAGCCTATCAGCGCTGTGAGCGAGCCTGGTTCTGTAGCATGTTGCAATCTGTATGAGTATGTGGGCATTTTTCCTGTGCATTACCCTACCTGCAGAAGCTCTTAAATGCTTGCAGGTTGCATTCTCTTTGACCTTCAAAGACCAGCAGAACTCTTTAAACAATTAACAGATATTACACAAAAAGTGAAGAAGGGAATGAACTGGTAGATTTACTGTGGTCACAGAAAATACATGAATTAATATTTAGAATAATCGGTGTTTCCCCATTAACTGAACTGTGGAACTGTTCTCTCAGACCTTTTTATTCTTAAGTTTCTCGTGTTGCTTTTTCCTGATGTCCTTTTTGGTATGGCTTCATCTATCACTATGGCCATCTTCCTCTGCTTGTCTACCAATAGCATCTCTGGTTAGTTAACTCAGGCCAGAAAACATCATAGCAATCTTCTATTGTCCAATTTTTGTGAGACTGCATACATTTTAGCCTTGTGTCCCTGTTCTTATGTGACAGTGGCACCAATTGTGGTCTTCTACTGCTGCAGCCCATCTGTTTCAAGGTTCTATGTGTTCTGTGTTCAGGAAAGCTCTTCTGCTTTTTTTTAGCAGTAAGTGCTTGTTTGAGTTACTGTTGCAGTCTTAGTCACCTAAAACACCTTTCTTCCTTATTCTGATGCACCGTTTGAAATAATTCTATGTGTGCATATCCACCAAGTTGCTCCCACGTAATTGGATAATATGATATTTGTGTTAATGAACAGTTGAGTAAAGATCAAAACAATAAGCTCATTAGCTTTTAGGACTGTAAGGTGCGTAAGGTGTGCCTTCCCCGGGTGGTTCCTCTGGTTACAAAAGACTTAGATAAGAGACAGTCAGATTAATACGTGTGTCAGAATATTTTATTTTGGAATTATCAATTTTCCTTTTATTGTGAAAATACTGAAATGAAATACAGCAGTGAAGAGGTGACATATTGTTCATCATACTTCTGTTTTTTTCTCAATCTATTCATAGATAAAGAAATGCTCAGTATTTAATTCTATATGCATCTGACTCTGAAAACATCTGACCAGTTAGAACTTACATCAATTAACTATTTGAATTTAAAAAGGGTTATTTTTCATAATATCCATAAAAGTAATTAAGTATGAGAGTGATTAAACAACATAAAATATGTTTTGAGCTGTTAAAGAGCCGCAGGACTCCAATCACAACGTTAGGATTAAAGGGATTTATTATTTCAGCACCTAAACTATATTCTGATGCCTAATGTGGAAAATGATTTTGGTCCTGCACATGGGGAAAATTGCTGCATTGGAGCTTAGTGACAGGAGCATTTGTTTTTTATTCCAGGTGTAGTATTGCACACTTTTAAATCAGTTGTTCTTCATAAGCCTCAAAATAGCTCACAGCCAAATCACAAATAATGAAAAGTGAAAGTGTGCAAGTGCATATTTCTTTGCATATATTCACTACATCAATAGGACATTTTTTTCACGTTAACTCAGTTCAATTCAATTCAGTGTTATTTATATAGTTCCAAATAACAAAAGCATTCACTTCAAGGTGCTTTATATTCTAAGGCAAAGACTCTACAATAATACAGAGAAACCTCAACAATCAAACCCCTATGAGCAAGCATTTTGGTGACAGTGGGAAGTAAAAGCCCCCAGCAGCCTAAGTCTATTGCAACATAACTAAGGGTGGACTCAGGGTCACCTGATCTAACCGTGACTATAAGCTTTGTCAAAAAGGAAAGTCCTAAGTCTAAACTTAAAAGTAGAGAGAATTTCTGTCTCCCAAATCCAAGCTGGGAGATGATTCCACAGAAGAAGGGCATGAAAGCTGAACGCACTGCCTCCCATAGTACTTTTAAATATCTTAGGAATCACAAGTATGCCGACAGTCCGAGAGCAAAGTGCTCTATTGAGATGATATGGTACTATGAGGCCTGATTATTCAGGACCTTCCATGTGAGGAAAAGGATTTTAAATTAAATTCTGCATTTAACTTGCGCCCAGTGAAAAGAAACCAATGTAGGTTTCCATGGCAATTTGATAATAACTTAAGACGTTTGGATCTTTTACTTCAGTGTAAGCGTGTAAAACATATAACTCACATGCCAGATGGTCAAAGTTAGTCCAAAAGTGAGCTTATGCTATTCTAACTAAAATTTAATAAATAATCCCAAATGAATTATCTCTTTATTTTGATAACAACAACAGTAATGCTTTTTTTTAACAGTGAGCAACAAAATATGCAAAACCTGAAAAAATCTTGCTGAAATTACTTTTATTTTTTCTCAGGGATGTTTCCCACTTTTAGACTAGTTGTATTTCTTTACAGTTAAATAATTAGGATAAAAAAAATAATTCAATTATTATTGTTGTGCCCACCTGAGATCCAGTTGGGTTGTATGTAACCCATAATCTAAAAATTGTTACACCACTGATTCTGTTCATTGTACAAAGACTTCTATAGCTGGCAGTGACAGCATATTTTTATATTAATCACCAACACAAATTAATTACATATATAGTGAATCAAAGTCTTTTAAAAAGTAGTGTTCAAATGAAAATATTATGACTAGACTTGCAGCATTATGTTGAACACAAACATATTTATCTGTCTTGACAAGAAATTTATGGTTTTTTTTACCAAACTATTTTCTAGTATAAACATTTGTTATACACTCGTGAGTGCTAACACAAGCATTCAGTTGAAGAGATGATGGTCATGTGACAGTTAATTTGTGTTAGGTGAAAGCAAAGCTTTCATGTTACTTCATAGCACTAAAGTTTTGTGTAAAGGATTGTTCCTTTATAGCGAGTGTAATGCTTACTTACATTAGGTTAATTACTATTTTTGTATCCACTGAATTGTTTTTGTATCCACCTCGGGAATGTCTGGAGGAGGCACAAAAATATGTTCACTAATCCATTAAATCCACAAAGGATCAATAGTTCAAGCTCTTTCAGAGTAAAACAAACATTATAGTATTACCTATTACATCCAGACTACATTTTAAAAACATGAAAGTAAATCCTGTTTTTCATAACCAGGTATTAGCTGCCGCGCTAGCAAACTGAAGCGAAACCATATTCAGTCAGACATACTTAAAGTTAATGAAATGAAATGAAATCCTTTGGTATTCAGCAGTTTGAAATAGTGCTTTCAAGGCTTTTGATGAGTCTATTTTCAGACAGTGTAATTAAGCTTGATCTTTTAGTACCATTGATTTATTTCTTGATGCTTAAAGGAGGTCAGAAAAACAAGTGGTGCCATGATTGGAAGGTTGTCAAACATGGTAAGGCAGTTTGTTTGCTAAATAATTCATGGTCAAGGTGCCAAAGCGTTGCAATATGAACATCATGCAATACAATTCTTAACATTTCTTGACGTAATCATCAAAACAAAATGATTGCATATAAACACCATTTCCTGGACTGAATATGGTCTTTTTCTACACAAATCAGATTTGTTCTGATCTTCAGAACCAGCAACCTTTTCACGTGTTGTTAACTCCAGCTAATTATCTACAAGTTAGCAGGTTTTTTTCTCCTCCAGTGTTCCTGAGCAGAAAAGATTCTCTGGCAGCTGTCTCGTAGCTGCTAGTCTCTGTAGGTGGAAGTCTCCTCCTCCCCCCTCTCATCCTTTTCTTTTGACTTCTCTCTGTTTTTTATCGATGCAGACGGTGGGGGACATAGCTGCTGTGCCTCTCTTGCCCACTGTGCTATTGATCTGTGTTTATATCCCTCTTTTGAGAGCCACTTAAAACAACATTCTGATGGCAAAAATATCCAATCATACCAATTAGTTAAAATACTCATAAAATGATTATTTTTAAAAGACAGAGATGTGACTGTATGTCATCTGGAACTGTGTAGATATAATTTAAACAGTGACTTCTTCACTTATTGTAATTTCTTATTGCAGGAACACAGTGTACAAATAATTTAAGTCAATAGAACACACGCAGTATTTCAAACCATGGTTCTCATTTCACGATATTTTATGGCACCAGTGAAAAGGCTAATAAACTACACTGTCTCTTATTTCATCCTGACACATATTTGTAGCAGTACTTGTTGTGACTCTTGTGTGTAGACTCTGAGCCACACCGAAGTCATTATAATGATTCCAAACAAGGCTTTTAGCTGCAGTTAAATTACAGTAAAGGAGCTGTAGGTGTCCCTGTGTAAATGGAACTGGAGACAAAGGGTGCCTCATTTAGTTAATGCACATTTCATGACCAAACTGTCAAAATATAATTTGCACAGACAGATAGTTGATGGAAATAAACAGAAACGTGTTGTGGAGAAAAATGTTAAAGGACACAAAGACAAGATATAACAAATCGTGTGCATGTGCTCAACAGCAAACATGTCAAATCCATGGCAACAAAGGCAAGAAAATAAAAAGAACAGGTAATGAGTTAGACAAATTCAGCCAAGACAGTGTGATTATGGTTTTCAGGAGGATGATAGAAAACAGAGGCAGGACTGAGAGGTCCGGCAGCGCTGATGGAAGTAGTTCAGACAGACTGACGCACTTTGATATACTCTTTAAAGCACTGATTCACCTTAAGGTTTGGCCTTGCTGCAGTTAGCCTCCATTGCCACTTTAAAGATTTCAAGTTAAGGTTTGTATTTTTTACTTTTAATTCCATTATTGCTTTTTGAGATTTTTTACAGGAAAACTACTTGTCTGTCCATCCAACCATTTTTTAAACTGTTTATCCAGTTCAGGGTAACCAGAGTCTGGAAACTACGCCATGTGTAGGTTTACAGAGACAGGTTTCACGCCCAAGGGGTCTGGTGCTCCCTGGACATGACAGAATATGCAAACAATAACAGGGATAGCACAGAGAAAGAGAGAGACAGCCAAATACACTCTCACATTCACACCATTTGCCAGT